GACACTTAGCCATGCCATGCATGAGTGGAATATGTGTTGTAAGCTTTTGGTGAACTTTGACATGCAAGAGTTGCATGTAATTTGCCTATTTAAGAGGTCTTTGTTCAAACATTGAAATCTCTTGGAACCTTTGGTCATTTGAGGTTTTTCAAAAAGCTTACATAACTCATTTTAGCTCGATATTTCTCTCAAATTTTCCTTGTCTAAAAAGATTCCCACCACTCTATTCCAAGCATTGAGAGTAGCTAGGAAGATCTCTTGGTGCTCCTCATTGGAGCTATTTGAAGAAATTTGAAAAACTAAAAAGGTATGTATTTCTCTACTTTTATCTAAGCACTATAATGTATGATCATGCATATTTAATCCTAGGTTGTATTATGCATCTAGATTGTTATTTCGATCCTTGCTCACTTCCGCTGCGCATGTATGTATATTTTCCATCACTATGGTCACCGTTAGTTTATTTTAGTCTACCTAACATATTAGTTTCTTACTTTCAAATTTTGTTCATTATTTTAATCTTGTACTTTTGATTGATTTTTTGACTTTTAGAACGTGAACATTTTGGTCATTTCATTTCTTTTTATCTCTTTTATTTCTATCATTATTTTAACATGACATTTCACTCACTGCATATTTTGAAATGTAAATAAAAAAAATGTGTATTAAAGAATTTCCATTCGGTATAGAATTTGTGTTAAAATTTTTTGAATTAGAATCTAAATTGATCACTTTTTCGAAATAGGTGGACCAAAGCAAATGTTTTGAAAGTACAATAATTAAAATGTAGAACATCTAAAAGTAGAGTGATAAAATGAACATTTTAAAACTACATAAACCCAAATAAACAAAAATCAAATGTACAAATACCAAATTAATATTTAAACTTACTATTTATTTGTAATTCTCTCTTAAACAACACAAAGACCTTATGACAAAACTATATCAATCTTCTATTATAGAAACTATGAATCACATAAAATAAAACATAGTACATAAACATAATCATCGAGCTTCATCAATTTATTTATTTACTTTTTACAAATTCAACGAAAAGCTAACAGATGACTTCAAAACGAAAAGAAAAACTTTGACACAACATAATCAACTGTATTAGAAAGAGATGGAGCTCGATCGTGCCATATATATTCAAGGTTCTTATTTAAGGTGTGACTCAATGTCCTTGGTGATACCATTCATGAGGTCGAGGTATTGGTAAGGATAAGGAGAACCATCATCGAGTTTCTCATATTCTAAGGTCAGAACTGCCAAACTATGTTCAGGACTCTTTGGTACAACTTTATATATTGCGTTGAAGGTTTTGTAATGCTTGAACACGTCTCCTTCCAACCCGATTAGGGTTACTGAGAGATTTTTGTCATCAAATTCCACTCGCTCTTTGAAAACTTCATCCTTACCATCTTATCAAATTACATGCAAAAACGAGGAGAGGTCAATTGCTTAATTAGATGCAAAAACAATAGAGGTCAATTGCATAGAATAGGAAAAGGGTGTTTCATGAAAGTAAATAAATAAATAAAGCCCCGTTCGATAACAATTTTGATTTTAATTTTCTATTTTTAAAAGTTAACGTTTCTTAAAAATACATCTGAACTCTCCGCCAAAGTAAAAAAAAAAAAACAAGTCTTTCAAAACTACTTTTCTTAATTTTCAAAATTTGGCTTAGATCTTGAAAATGTTTTTAAAAGATAGATACAAAAACAACAAAATACACCGGTGAAAGTTGAAAGTAGTATATTTATAAACTTTATTTTCACAAATAAAGAACAAAAAACAAAATAGTTATGAAAGGAGACTTAACAAATCATCATTGTTGTTATACGTACCGACGCTATACTTCCATATCTTGATGGAGCCATGGCCATGGGTGTCCCAATCACCTTCATGAACTTCAACTTGTTGGATGATTTTGGGGGAAACCTTGGGAACATGGAAAGCTTCATCCTTGAAGAGTTTGTAGTACTTCTCTGCAGGAGCATTTATTTCCAATTCACTCACCAACTTCCCAACAAGAGACATGGTTTCAACTTCAACACTCTCTTAGATTGCTTCACACGCACCACAACCAATACACCATTAATAATGGCTTCCCCTTTTATACACCTTCAGCATTGAGTTTATATTATTGTATTAATAATAATTCCTTTTTATGTAACTATGTGTTGATATAAGGATACAATGTCAATCGGGAACAAGATCCACGTAACAATTAGGGGCACGTACCGTCTTAAATTTTGATTGAACTAAAATATTAATGGACTCTTTACAAGAATTTGACTTTTTGTATTGTGGCTTACACGTGCGGCTCTGTAATAATATCCATGCAATTTTGTCCTTGGTTCAAATCTCGAAGCTTACAAAAACTTGAATTGCTGCTGTTATAAAAAATGGAAAATATATGCAAATGGTTTCCTACCAAAGGTTATATATAAATTTAACATCAAAGTCCGTCTCCGGATATCAAACGTCAATATGAGTATAGTTCAATGATTAAGATATCTTCCTTTGAAGTTGGATGTTCGATTTCTCATCCTCATATTTATTGTATTAAAAAAATCTCTAGTTGAAAATGGTGATGTAGAAAATTTTAGGGTAGTTAAAATACTAGCAAAACAAATGGAAAAATGCAAATTAGCAACTACATTCTAATTTTGCAAAATAGCAAATTTTAGTAGTCTACATCATTAGTAAAAAGTCTAATTTACCCTCAACCAGACACCGTATCGAAACCCAATGCACTATTTCCTTCTTTTTGTTTCTTTCATTTTCATTCCCATATACCATTGATTTACCTTATTCAATTACTAGTATATCTTATTGATATAACTCTAATATGGTGTGCTGATGTACCATTAATTTACTTTATTCAATTACTGATATACTTTATTTATATACGTGATTTGATATACCTCGGATATATGTGTTGATATACATTATTATATACCGTTTATTACTTATATACATTAATGTACTTCATACTAGGTATATAAATTATTATCTATATACCTTGATGTACCCCATACTAGGTGTAAATCAGTTATAACTGAAATATCTTGATGTACTCTATATTAGGTATATCAATTATACCATAATGTATTGCAACTAAGGAATATCATTTATAACTAATTTACTGTGATCTACTTCATACTAGGTAAATAAGTTATAACTAATATATAATATTTAACAAAGCCGTCGTGAGAAGCTAACCCTTCCCAACCGTTTTTACAAACCGTCACGAGATATCTTATTTTAAACTAATATTTAAAAAAAAATTCCCCGACCTTATAAGAAAACCATTGGGAAATTTGACCACACCCCATGGCGGAGAGGTCTTATTTTAAAACAAATTTTAAAAAAAATATCACTCAACTGTTTTAAAACCGTCAGGCGAGGGTGACTTCTCCCGACTATTTGCAAGAAAATTGGGGAGAATATGACCTCTCCCGACTGCTTTTATCAAACATTGTGGGAGGTCTTATTTCTCCGGATGTATTATCTTCCATTGGGAGAATTGGATTTGGCAAGAGATTCCTCATGCGTCGGTAAAAACACCGTCAGCCAGAAAGTCTTGCAGTGATACCTTGATGTGTTCTATACTAAGTCTATGAGCTATAACTGATATACCTTGATATATTGCAACTAAAGTATATCAATTAACTTCTACGATATACCTTGATTTACTGCATAATTAGTATATCAGCTAACTAATATATCTAACATAAAATATGTCATTAATATATTCGAATAACGTTATTTATACACATTGATGTACTTAATACTATAGGTATATCATATATAACTATGTTCAGCCATCACTGATTTATTATTTATTCATGATAAACAAATTTTACATTTTATCTACAGTAAAATTAACCGTAATAAAAGTAGCAATTCTGTCATTGATATAACAAGTCTCTGACATACATTGTTTTGATATACCTAATTAAAACTCAAGCCACTACTAATACAAATGATATATATCATTATTTAATAGGTGCAAATTTACAACTTCTATTATTATGACAAACAGGTTTACAACAGCTGCATTTTATGAGCTTTCTGATCTCATCGATTCAAGGTATCCTTTTTTTTTCGTGACCTTTTCCTACTTGAAGTTTAATGATTGGATATAATAAATCCACATCAATCTCTATAGAACTCGAATCAGAATGCTTACTAGTAGGGGGAATAGAACCATTATAAAGTGGTGGACAATTTACTAGCCATATAGTACTTAGAAACATATAATAAGGATTCAAATGAAGCCCACAAATAAAACCAAGCGCATGAGTACAAGGAATTTCATCCAAATCACAAACACAGCCGACTTCAACTTTTAGAATTGAACTTTTCCAAAAACTTATCAACTTTATCTTCACAACACTATTGATAGGATCAACCTAAAATGAAAAAAATTAATGGACTATAAAAGAAAAAAGAACATTAGAAATCAATAAAGTAATTACCATTAAGTTTCTTGATTCATAAAATTGTTTACCCTTAGCCTACAAAAGCTGATGGAGAGTAGATCTTGCTGAGAATGGAATACAATAAAGAATATCAGTTATAGTAGATAAAGAATATCAGTTATAGTAGATATATCTAGTATGGAGTACATAATGGTATATCAATTATAGCTGATATATCTAGTATAGTATGTTGCTATCGGCTAATAAATCTGAGGATAAAATTAAAATAATAAAAAAATCTAAAATAAGAATTGAAAAAAAAAATTGTCAAATTGCATAAATTTAGCTACGTATTGACCAAAAATTTATGTGGTTTATTTTGATAGTTGTCCACCTAATGGTAGCTTCACTTGTCAAAGGATAAGTAATTTAGTTAAAAACTTTAAATTCAAGTCTCTACCTTACGTTTTAATATATTTGAGTTTTCGAAAACAGAAAACAAAATTGTTATCGAGAATTTACTATCTTGATTAACTTTCAATGATACTCATCATTAGTTTTATTTTATTTTAAAAAAAAACATTGATTTGGATGGGGGATAATTTTAAAATATTTCTATTTTAACATCATTTAATGAAGATGTTGTCGCAACGTCATCGCGACGCGGAGCGGCCGTCATCTCCTGATGGGTCTCTTTAGAGATTACGGTTTGGAGTCACCACCAATCATCTATGAGGTGTGATTGGTCACCTATTTTAAAAATTTGGTCTACGAAAACAGATTTTTGGTTCGGGGGTCGACTGAGCGTAGGAAGGTGTTAGCACCCAGTTCATATACAAACTTCTGTTCTTAAGTAACCTACCACTATGCCAACATCACATAATACAACTTAGTTTTAATTCTTATCATACAAATCTTTATTTAAAAAAATTGTTTAAAAAAAATAAAATAAAACTAAAACTAAAACCGAAAAATAATAATAATAATAATAATAATAATAAAAAATAAAAAAATTATTTTGTTTTAGATTTGAAATTTCTCTAACAAACTTCCTTAAAACTAAAAAAAACATTTAAAACAAACTTGTTTTAAAAAAAATATCATATTTAAAACAAACTTATTTTTTTAAAAAAAATCATATTTAAAACAAACTTGTTTTTTAAAAAAAATCATATTTAAAACAAACTTGTTTTTTAAAAAAAATCATATTTAAAACAAACTTGTTTTTTAAAAAAAGATCAAATCATATTTAAAACAAACTTATTTTAAAAATAACCAAATCATATCTAAACAAATTTATTTTAAAAATAATCAAATCATATTTAAACAAATTTATTTAAAAATATATATATATATATGAAATTTAAAACAAGCTTATTTAAAACAAATAAAAAAATGAAATCATTTCTAAAACAACTTTTTTGAAAGAAGGAAGTGAATTTTTCTTGGTTTCTCTGTATGGGTGTTTTCTCTGCCTTCTCCTCCCCACTGCAGCCCTCCTTAAATACACCTAAAAAGGGCAAGAGAAGAGAGAAAAAGAGGGAGGAGAAGGAGGGGGAGGGATACACGTATCAAGGAAAAAATCAAGGCAGAAAAAAACTGTTTTTTTTAAATCTTAAAATCAATTAAAAAAACCAATTATTTTCAAATAAAATCTAATTTTAAAACTTAATTTGATTTAGTTAAAACTTTACATTAAATTTTATAATAAAGTAAATTATGTTATTTTAAACTAAATCAATAAACATAAAAAAATAATAAATAAATCAGTAATAAAATTTTTTTAAAAACGAAAGCGAGTCGGACCAAGTACGGTGTCTACAGATGTAATTTATTTGAAACATATTCCAAAAAGATGTTATTGTTTGAGACATATCCATATGATATCAAAGTTTGTCACGTGAAATTTTGTCTGTTTTGACTTACAAATTTGTCTCATTGATACCCTAAAATCTCTCCTCTCTCATCTTAATTATTTTCGTTCCCTCTTCATTAACCTACCTTATCTCGATGATAAGAAATGAAATAGTTTTGAGACTTTTTTCTCATTTATAGATTATGATGGATCGTTCTTTAATTTGAACTTTTTCTCAAATAATTATTGGTTTGTAGTTACTCTCAAGTATACATCACTTTATCTAGGCTCTCCTCTTCTATTATAGCACGTCACCTGTTCGATTCAATCACAATTTTTTTGTGACTATATTATTGCACCACCGCTTTATTCAGCATCTAAAAATTCTATCGAGAAAACAAAGTTTGAACATGACTCTAATACTTGTTGGCAAATGATCCCTCTACATCTCTATAAGCAATTATAAAGACGGTTCAACTTGAATATAAGCCTTCATAAATTTAATTATTTGAAGTTCACTAAAAGATCTCGTACCAATACAAATATTATCTCATTTTCCATATAATACATTTGTCACACATCCAACAAAAATATATTATTGTTTGAACACGTAGGTAGTACCTAAAAATTTTCCATATTATGTCAGAAATGGTTACTTTTGACTTTGAAATTTGTGTCTTATTCACTTCTTTAAAATTATCCTCTCTCTTCTTAATTATTTATACCTTCCTTTTCTCTCTCAATTTAATCGCCACTTTCCCTGTTTAATTATATTTTCTTCGTTATAAAAAATAATATATATATATATATATACACTAGTATT